TAGTAACAAGAAGCTACTAGGGTGGAGGCCATCGCTAGCAGGTTGGATGCCAGCGCTACTAGTAACAAGAAGCTACTTGCAACAATTGTGTTCAGTTTCGCCATCAGGTTAGCGACGCATCTAAGACCGGCTCCGCCCAGTTTGGTGCGGGTGATCGAGGCATGCTTTTGCTGGTTTTAGAGCGCTGCGATCTCTCTTTGCACTGCCAAGGGTTTGCAAATTGGAGATGTGCAAGGCATAAAACGTGTTTGTGCACCAGGTGTCCTTACCCAAGGTGGTAAGGAACCTCACAGTGCCACAGCTGGAAGTTGTTGTGCAATCCTTGGCCTTCATATCTGGCTTGAGATCCTCGGATTTTAGTTGTCATTTTGCTTTGAACGGTGGTTCATGTATATACTTTCATTGAAGGCCCAAATGCGGCAACTGAGGCAACACAAACAGCCTGGGAGTGCGTCTTGGTGATGCATGCCTTGCTGCACCGCTTACCGCCTTGGACACTCCTGCATTGGTTGGGGCTATGCGATCAGCCTTAGCATTGGGTGGACCGCTCAAGTGGAACGTCATGTTCATGGTGAGTGGTAGGCAATTCCAAACGCCAGACATGCCCCAAACAGTTTTGTGGAAGGATGTAGGAATAAGAGCACTGAGGTCACCATGCTCCTGGCTTTTGGGCCCCTGTGCTTTACGAAGCGAAACGGCGCGTGGAAGCACCAGAGGTCTGGGTGGCAGCAGATGTGGCCAACGCAGCGTTGTTGGCTGCGCGGGTTGCTGCGCGAGATGCCAAGAAGCAAGAGGCACTGCGCAGCTGTTTCCATCCTGTTTTGCTCGATGAGTGTGTTCTTGCTTGTACTTCATTGTGTTTCTATTTCTGGGGTGGCTGGCAAAGCGACTCGAACATGGAAAAACCAATCGTTTGAACTTCACTAGAGGCGCCTTAATCATTCGGCGTATTTGCTCTTCATGTCTCTTGATGCTCAATCCATTCTGCAGATTCTCACAGCAACGTTTCTGCTGAAGCAGTTATTGCTTGAACGTGGCAGGGTTGTGGAGTCCTTTGTGCCAGGTAGCCATGGTGGAGGTGCCTAATGCGGCAGCTCCTCCTGCTTTGGCGCTGCTACATGCCCTTTGGACACTGGCGCTGCAACGGACCTTTGTGGTTTGAAAGCACCGATGTTTGAAAGGGTGAACCTGCTGTTTTGGGAGATGTTCTTGTCCTAGACTAAGGGCCACGCATAGGGTGAGCATAGTTTTAGGAACAAATTGGGAACAAGCACTTGAAATATCTCCAGATCTCGTTGCAGGATGCGAGACTTCGAGCCACGAGCGCTTGGGATCCTGGCCATGGTCTGGTTCTCAGACCTGATCACATTATGTCTATCCAAAAAGAACCACCGCAACGGCAGAGCGCAAGCATGCGCAAGCTGTGAGCAAAGGCGATGATGAAGAGTGACCAAGAAAATGGCACTGTTTTTGCTGCCATTTCGCATCGATCCCTCGAACTCTATGAGAGTGGTGCAATCTTCAATAGCTTGGACATTTGCCAGCTCCCCTTCTGCACTAGCCACGATGAACATCTGTGAAATGGATTTGTGCAGTTCCAGGTGTGCTTCGTTTCGTTTCTTCTGCTGCATGCCTGCTAAACTCTGGCAGCAGATTCTGGCAAGGCTCCTGGTGGCACTAGCCCATTTTAGATACAGCCCAGCGCCCAGTGGCAGCTTTCTCATTCATGACTGGATTCACATGGTGGTTTGTTTGCTGAAGTCCTCAGGAGATGAATTGTTGCTGAAAGTCCTCGCATCCAGACTGGAGGAGTCATTTGAAGGCTATGACTCCAAAGCGCGTGATATTGCTCCCTGCCTTGGCTTGGTTTCTGTGTTGTCTCCAGTGGGACATCGGGTGTGCAAACAGAGCCGAGGCAATGTGGTCCTTTTCAATCCTTGGTGGTGTTCCAGGGGGCAAAGAGCGATACCCCCACCTGGTGGAATGCCTTTTGGAGCCCAAGCTGCGTTTCTGGCCGCTTTAGCAGTCCACGACTGCTCGATCCTGCTCGCCATGCTGCGAGTAAGGAGTATGAGCTGTCCAAAGGCAAGTCCACGGAGCTGACTGAGGGGCACTTGAGTGCAGTCGAAATCATGCCGCACGAAATCCCGCAGACAGCCCCTGGTTGAAAAAGGATACCCAGGTACTGTAGGGAGAGTAGCACTGACAGTCCTACAAGTAGAGATGCTGCACCCATCCTGCAAGAGTGTGCAAGCAGTATGCCAGTTTGTCCGGCTCCAAAATTTGCTATACCTGTAGCTTGAGCACCTGCCTTTCAAGACACGGAGAGTGATAGAGGTAGGCTGGGCTGCGGCCTGAGTTGCCATGGCGGGCAACTCGCCTACTTCCCCTTTGCCTGGTGTGACCAGGGGTGGGAGGGCTGCCCCGATTGGCAGCTTGAATAGCATCACTATTCATTCCCCTATAGGCAGCCTCAGCTCCGTGAACGGTGGTGTCATCAACAGCGGGCACTTCAAAGCCACACCTCAAGGCCAGCGCCGCCGCTGGTGCGACTACACACCTACGGAAGTGTGGCCAGCAACCCCAAGCCCAGCTGGTCACGAGGGAATGTGCGGCTTCGGCGTGCCAACCACTATGCCAGCACCAGCAGCACCAGCAGTTGCCACGTCTCCTTCAGCAGCCTTAGGTGCCACTTATTCTGGATTCCCAGCTGTGGCACAACCAGCCCAACCTGCGCAGCCAGCGCAACCAGGTGTGGCTTCTGGGCAGGTGCCCGCTGCCATGCCAGCAGGCATTCCTGTGCCCATGCAAGGCCTGCCAGGCATGCTGCCCATGCCCGTGACCGCAGCAGCAGGACCTTGTGACATTGTGACATTGTGCTGTGTATAAGCCATAAGCCTTATTATTTGCGCAATGTATTTCATCTTATCTGGATTTTACGTTTCAAATTGCCATGGCCATGCTCAATTCAATCCTATCTTTCGAGTTTAAATTAGCTCTTTGCAACTTATTTGTTCTCTTCCAAGTTCAGTACTCTTGGGAGGAGGCGGTGCGCAAGGAAACCTTCCTGAAGGAGCACAAATGGTGTTTATGCAGGTGCACTAATGGTGTTTATGCGATCGCCGATCGCCCGACATGTGAATCCCAAGGCAATTTGCTGCGGTCCCCTTTTGTTACCTGAGGTGCCTGGGCAACAAGGAGCCCAAGGCTTTTTTCAGCTGCCTGTGCAGCAACCTGGAGCGCCGCAGGCACAGGCAGGGTGAGTTTTAGTGGCAGATGTGGCCACTCTATGGGCTGAACAATTCAACAATGCAATGGATTGTCGCACAAGATTCAGAAGAGTTATACTTTTTGCATCCTTTTCATTCCGGACAGCCCTTCCGCAGGTGGTTTTCATGCCTGCTGCTGCGGCGGCAGCCTCAGCTGCACCTGCTCCTGTGGCAGAGAGCCCACAACGACCTGCTCCAGAAGCAGGCCTAAGCTACCAATTGCAGCAAGGTTTCAAGCACGGTCCCATTCGTGCCCTGTGGTGTGTTGGTGTGTGTGTGTGTGTGTGAGCTTCTTCACACCAGACGTGCAATGCAAGCAACTGCCAGTGTCGGGAGCACATGAGAGGCCTTGTGAGTGACACCAATGCGCTACAACATGCTGCCGGAAGGCTGGCATATGTGAAAGGCATTAATGAACTTCCGGATGTGAGCTGGCTAACTGTGTACAAAGTAAGGCTTGGTCACTTGGGAGCGGAAGCTCCCACGCTACCCATCCTGTGATTCTTTTTGGTTGATGTCACTGACGCCACTCAGGCAACTCTTTAATGAAGCCATGGATCCTGCTACCCTCGATGGTGCTAATCCGAACATAGCCTCCAAAGGCTCAGCGCTACATGGCACTGGAAGGCCAAAAGTCAGCGCAACTGTTTGACTCCGTGAGACGACGAGAAATCATGCGGCATAGGGTGACGTTCAGTGACAAATTGTATGTTACTCCAACCTAATAGCTTCCAACCTAGAAGCAATGGCCTCCAACCTCCTAGCAATTTTGTTCATGTTGGAATGGTGGGGTCAAAGCCTTGGGAGTGGCCACCGTTGGCCTCCCACGGTTGAGGAGTGATACTGTGCAGTCCACTGCCAGGTGCAGTCCCTGTGCATGGTTCTGGAAAGCCAGAGGTTGCAATAGCGGCTACGACTGCACCTACTGCCATATGTGCCCAGAAGGTGCGGTCGGGACCTTTCTATATATTATATATCTATACTATATCTACACCTACATATACATTATATATATATATTGTTGATCTCACACTGGAGTTAGTCAACAACCTTCCGTGAAACCCTGTTCACCTAACGAAGCGACCTCGCTTGTCCGTGGCGTAATGATGTCCGCCCGCCCACCCTTCTTGGTGGATTGAACCAACGGAGAACCGCGTGAGACAGTCACCACACAGCTTGCGAGCTTCACACTCATCTTACTTTTTCTTTTCAAAAACACTGTCTCACCGATCCAAGGAAAGATGGTCCTTCGATGTGCACATGTCCCCACCCAATAGCTACGCTCGCCTGCACACCCCTGTTGATAGGTGTCCCTATAGACTTCTAGCCTTCGCAGATCCACTGGACAGTTCTCAACCCCGACAGGTGAAAACAATTGGTATCGTAGTTTCACGTGCGCTCGAATGATCTCTCCATTCGGACCTTTCTTCCAAAAATCTTCATCATGCATGTGTTTGCCGGATTGTTCCATCATCATGGCCTCTTCATTCTGCCGATCCTTTTCAGACCGGTGTTGTTTGATCCATTTCAATCGCTCTCTCGCTGTGAGCCGTTCCTTCAACGCATTGCCGCATGACTCTCATCACGCAGAGTGTATTTGCTGGTTCTCAAACATTCACGTAACACACTACTGTCCATAGTCTTAGTTAGACAGTCGGCTAACATCGCCTGAGAGCAAACCCAGCGAACCATGGCATTATTTCGAAGCCTTTCGCGAATCAACAAACATTCGATCGTTGTTCTCTGTTCCGAGCACTGAGGGATTGCAGTCCTAGTGAGAAGGTCATAGGCTGATTTGCAGTCGGTTACTAATGCACCTGGATTCTTACTGGACAACATCTCTTCCGGTTTCGTCCAATCACAGTCTGGATCTAGTAGTGTTGACCATAAAACTCGGATCCACAGTAAGCGATCTGCTGAATTGCTCAATGCTGCCGCTTCTGCACCAAGTGTGCTCCGCACAACACGGGGAATCTTCTTGCTGTACCATGCTATCGGTGCTACTACCGACTTCTTGTTCTCGAGAAGTTCCGGTGTTGTAGTGAAAATGATTGTACCTTGTTGGTGTGTTTGGTGCACGAAAACGACGCGTCGGAAAAAGCACAGTGAGTCACCTACCTAGGTTCAATAGGGAGTACCATCAGTGTCACCCGATTCTGCTTGGCCTTTGCTAAAACCTTGTTTCCTAGAATCAAATGTTTCACCCTAGCCCTAGTGACCTCACTCTGTAACTCTCCAACCTTGGCTGCTAAATCTGGGCGACTATGAACAGCTGCATATTGGAGGGCTCCAATGAGGCTTCGAAATGAGGTTCGTTCACCTTCAGTGATCAGGGACTCTGGGTCGTCTCGTCTACCCTTCCCCAAAGCGATAGGGCTGATCTTCTCAATGTACGGAATCTGATCATACTCAATTGATCCATCATCCCACTGCCTAAAATGAATTCCAGTGTGGGTGAATTCCCCTTGTTCGAAAGCCCCAAACTTAAACCGAGCCTCCACTTTCCGCAGCATTTCCATGAACATCGGACCGTCGGACTTCCTCCACCAATTCCATCATCTACGTGGATTCCGATGCAGCCCTCCAAGCCCTCTTTTGAATGGTACGTGAAGACACAGGGGTCTAGGGGTTTTGCCTACAGCCCTGTCGAATCAGCTCATCCCTAAACTCACAAAACCAAAGATAAGGGGCATCTATTCTTCCGTAGGCACCACCATCCAATTGGACTTGATCTGTTTCCCCCATCCCTAAAGCTTCACGCATTTCGGCGACCGGGACCAGTCCAAGTGGTCTTCCGTCACCCTTGCCATGTAAAAAGGCCGTGGAGATGTCGAAGGAAATTAGTGGCCATTGATGGCTCGCTACTCCTTGAAGGACGGTCATCCGTCCATCCTTGGACAATGTTGGGGCATCATTTACAACTTCGTCCAACTGAGGATCCTCCCAACCAATGACAATCAAACGGGCCTTGGCTTTCTTTCCTTCGGCTGACAAATCCTCAGGTGGTTCTTCTCCTGATGGATCTGATGGATTCTTCCAAACGTACAACCACCGGCATCTCATAATGGGAATTCTTCCTTGAGCCACTTCCCGAATGGTCTTATGCTGAAGCCATGCCCGCAACTCTTTATGCTTGGCCACAGCGAACCTCTTTTGATCCTCCTGGACAGTTCCTTCAATTTGATTTCTGATCTCTTCTTTCTATCGGAGACTGCGGCCAGGACAAAGGCATCGGGCGTGTCACAGGCTTCGGAGAGATCTCCGGCAGGAGTCACATCTATCTCCCAACAATAATCCTGACAACGAAAGCCCTCATGAAACAGAACTGTGTCCCCAAAGAACCCATCATCAGGAACCGGTACATCTACCCCGTCCCTGACTCTTTCCTCTTCTAAATCCATGGATCCTCTCCTAGTAGGCGCTGCCATTTCTTCCTCGGGTTCTGGATCCAGGGTCTCCAGTTCCCTCTGGTTCAGGTGGATTGACATCAGGTTCACTTTGTTCCGGAAGGTCATCAGGGTCCAAATCACAAAGGTCCTGGTTTCCTATTTTCCTAGCCCATTCCGGTGCCGGAACCTGGAACTCGGCTGAATCTTTCACAGCCTTCCACTCTCTGAGTGACGCGGCACGCAGATGCTGGGGACTCGCACGAATCAAGCGATGGGCATGTACCAACCAAATCACTTTCTTTTCAACCAAAGCCACTCTCGCTGGACCATACCATTGACCTCTCTCTCTACGCATGTTTCCCCCCTTTCTTTTCCAATAGAGTACTACGTCTCCAACCTCAAACGTGTTCTTCATCGGTCGGCTCCTACGAAGCATGATTCTCCGAAGGCTATTGGAATTGTCCATGGATACAAATGCTCTTCTAGCTGACTCCCTCAAATCTAAAGCTTCCTTGAAACTGTTTGGCCCTTCATCCAAAGCTCTAGAATGACTTATTGCACTATCGTCCGACGTGACTGACCCTGGCAAACGAGTAGCGCATCCGAGGACTGCTTGTTCAGGGGAATACCCGGACTTCCGGGGTCAGAGAGTTCTTGGCGTGACAAGCCTGTATCAATGCTTTCCGGAATGCTTCCTCATCTAGAATGGGGTTTTCCAGGTCCATCCTACTCAGCATGCCCTTGATGATAGCCCCATGGGATTCTACCCTCCCTAACTGCCAGTGGGATTCCCGTGCTGACACTTTCAATGTAATCCCCATCTCTTGCATCTTTCCTAACCAGGTCTCACTCAGGTATTCTTTTGCTGGGTCAACATATATGGTTTTGGGTGGTCCCGCCCATCGAAACTAGACGACGGTTGGCCCGAGAGCGAGACATGCAATTGTCCAGCACTGTCGAAAAGATGTCTGGAAAGAGACAAAGAGAGGGTGGATGTGAAGGAGTGACAGTGTGATGTGCAGGTGCGATATAGATCTGTAGATGTATGGAGGTGGAGAGGTAGATCTGTGGATGTGAGCGTGCGAAGATGTAAATGCACAGAGACGAGAGAAAAGACATGTAGAAAGAAAGAAAGAAAGAAAGACAGGACAGATGTGAAGGAGCGACAGTGTGGATGTACAGATGTGATATAGATGTGCAGATGTGTGGGTGTAGTGAGGTGGAGAGGTAGATCTGCGGATGTGAGCGTGTGAAGATGTAAATGTAGAGAGGTGAGGGGGTGTAGACGTAGATGCGTCGATGCAACGGCAGCGCAACGTCAACCTTAGTTGTGCAAGTACAACGCTGAAGAGGTTCAAATAGAACTGAAGAACGTACATTTCACACTGAAGTTTCCACGAACAGGGCGACCTGAGAGTAAACCACGTCACGATCATGACAAGCGACTCGTGTATTCCAAGCGAACATCGTTTGTCATGAAGGTGAAGTACACACATTCTGTCACATACTAACGTCACGATAACTCTTTTGTGGCAGCCACTTATGAGTAAGCAAAGTAGCTAAAATTTGTCAACCTCTCAAGAGAGCCGGGTGGTCGGGAGACATGACTCAGCTGCAGGGGCGCCAGAGCAGCCGCGAGAGATGACTCATCCGCGTACTAAAGTTGTACTACAAAGTCGCCAGTTCTCAGCTTCCAGCTCCACAGCTTGCTCCGCGTACTAAAGTTGTCCTACAAAGTCGCCAATTCTCATCTTCCAGCTCCCCAGATACTCCGCGTACTAAAGTTGTACTACAAAGTCGCCAGTTCTCAGCTTCCAGCTCCACAGATTGCTCCGCGTACTACAGTTGTACTACAAAGTCGCCAGTTCTCATCTTCCAGCTCCCCAGATACTCCGCGTACTAAAGTTGTACCAGAAAATCGCCAGTTCTCATCTTCCAGCTCCCCAGATACTCCGCGCACTAAAGTTGTACTACAAAGTCGCCAGTTCTCAGCTTCCAGCTCCACAGATTGCTCCGCGTACTACAGTTGTACTACAAAGTCGCCAGTTCTCATCTTCCAGCTCCCCAGATAAAGTTGTACCAGAAAATCGCCAGTTCTCATCTTCCAGCTCCCCAGATACTCCGCGCACTAAAGTTGTACTACAAAGTCGCCAGTTCTCAGCTTCCAGCTCCACAGATTGCTCCGCGTACTAAAGTTGTACTACAAAGGCGCCAGTTCTCATCTTCCAGCTCCCCAGATACTCCGCGTACTCAAGTTGTACTACAAAGTCGCCAGTTCTCAGGTTCCAGCTCCACAGATTGCTCCGCGTACCTGAATCTTCCTAGGGCTGCACTTTTTGCGCCTCCAACCTAGAAGGCGCCTCTAGGAACTGAGAGGCAATTTTTTTTGCAAGAGGCGATTCTTGTGTTACATAGATTTCTCCACAGTTATGTTGATAGAACATATGACATTAAGATAACCGTGATAACGATGAAACTTATACACTTAACATATAGGAAAAACACCACAAACCCCGAACCATGAACCAAGACATAAGTTATATGCATTCAAAAGGT